AATATTCTAACCAGTGATAACGAAACTTTCAGGCTCACTACATTTAAAAGTATTTAATATTTAATTGGCTACCGCTTAACCATTTCATCTGTTGACTAAGCAGCCAGTTTGATGGTGTAATCTTAAGTTTACTCAGATGACTCAATCCCATTATTTTTGCAATATAAATGACTGCGTAGTGTGATATAAACGGGAATTTTACCTATGGTGGTGTCAGTTTCGCTTCACATCAATATTGTTTGTCTTATATCTTGTTGAATTCTAAGAAAATCTTTCCTTTCACTGATCACATAAGGAAGTTGAAACTTTCTGGAATAGCTAAATCTCTTCTCTTACAATTTATTAATTCATGCATTCTGCCTATCCTTCTTTATCGTCCCACAGGACTCCCCTGTGGCATCTCAGAAGCTACTATGTTATATTACGTAGAGCCTTGGAAGCTGTAAGAGCCTTTCATTCAACTAATTGACATTATAGTCGATAGTGACTGTAATCCTCGCAGTCAATAGAATAAAGTCATCTTGTCTGGTACTTAAAATCCCCTTTATTCACAATATTATCCCTATTTTTCCTGTCGCAAAATCAGAAGAAAATTCATGACAATTTGTGCTCGAAAGGCTACGAAGTATAAAAATTCAACCATACTATGTTTAATACGGGTTTTGGATGAAGAGCCCATATTTTAATCTGTAGATAAGCAGAAAATTATAAGCTGAATCATTATTATACATATTCTTTTTCTACTTAATGTATTCACTTATTTGTGAAAAAGGATAAATAGTTACGACATATGTACAATGCTGTATGAGAAACTATTTCTTCGAATGAAGTGATTATTCTTACTGGCTATGATTGGTGTTAGTTATTGGTGGTTGGATAACCTCATCGCTTTTGTCTTTTCTGTATTCACCTGAAGTTGTATTTTAACAGTCTCTTCTGGTGAACTACTGGTTATCTCTTGGGTATCTTCGAGTTAGTGTAACATGAGGTACAAATCACCCACAAAACCCAGATTTCCTAGAACCCTACCATCGGTCCAACTTATACCAATCTTCTCAGTGCCAGGGGTATTACTTATCGCAGGAAGATTGTGTATACATTGAGGAATGAGTTATTCAAAGCCCGACTGAAATTGTGCATGAATTATTCCTATACAAATTCCATTTCTTATAATTCACGTTTTCTGAAAAATCAGTACAACCTTTTCGTTTTTTGAAGCTAATGTATGCAATGAGATGAGAGGAATAGTTTCGCAAGAATTATTGGAATTTCTATTAGTTTGAAATTCACCCTTTTCATATCGTCTTCAAGACCAAAAAATACCATCTCCTTATTGTTTTTGAAGTATTTGAACTTCGTTTAATGGAAGACATTGAAAACTTAGCGGGAGTGTTTCAAGTGGTTAAGTGAAACGCCAAAAACATACATACTGAAGACTTCTGTCAGTTTATTCACACTGGTTTGTAGTAGGGGTTCAATTATCTTCAATTAACTTGTAAGCTGACATCAAAAGAATAAGACAAGAAATGATTAAAGTGGTATGTGGACTCAGTTGGGTTTATTTCAAGACTGTTCTCCTATGAATCGATGACCATTCAAGAGTCATTGAAAACAATAACAAAGAAATAACTCACAATTAGCATACCCAATTCGTCTGTTTTTTACAGAGAATATTTCAACAATTTAAATATACTAGTGCAATCAGAACAAGATGATTTTGAGTGAACAGTTGTTTTCAATAACTTCTTCTCCAGACTCTGTGTTTATACATCCGCCTCAAATATGGTATGATTTAATTTTTGTATTTGCCCACTCGGGCATAATATGTTATGAAATTTCTTCTGGTTTTACCAGAAGAGATGCAAAGACAAGGCTGAGAATAAAGAGGATGTTCACTGTCCGGAAAGATGACTTTGACCAATTGCTCGCAAGTATTGAAATGTCTATCAACAACAATGCCAGTTACTTGAGTCAAAAGCACGTCACTAACCATGCTTACCTCCTTCAAAGTCCTGAGTAATGTAACACAGTCTTTTAAGAGACACCCAGAGAAGAATAGGGTGGAATAATAATAGGGGAATGGGTGAGATACATGGATTAATAAATTTTAAGAGAAAAGACTGAATTATTCCAGAAAGTCTCAACTTTCTTACACAATAAATCAACCGAAAAATTTTCTTAGAAATCATTAAGATATGAGGCGACCAAAGAAGATTTAAAGGTAAACTGATGCCCTGTTAGATAACATTTGATTTATTATAACTACCTCAGTGAACTGTTATCCGGCAACAGATAAATTCGAAATTTCGAAAGTTCGCAATATAACGGCATCGTCAATCAATTTTATCGCTTAGCGTGTATGCATTTCACCAACGACAACTTCTGTGGTCCTCTAACAGATGTCGGTTTGGAACTAAGTTGATAGTGAAGTCAGTCAAATACTTTACAAATCTAATACTCTGAGTTTTGATGTTCGTGAAGTCAAAATAATCAAGCTAGCATTCATATACCTTTTATACACACACTACAACTGGAGGGAAACATTTACTTTTCGAATTCTACGTCTTCTTCATGTTCTCCAGTCACCGTTTTACACGTGGGATATCTCAGCATATCATCAGGTATAACTAGTCACTAGAATACTGCTTACAAACTACTGATACCTAAGGATACCGAATAAAACCAACTTACAAGGGAAATTGTGAATGATAATAAAAAATTAAGCTGTTTATCAAATTACTTTACGGATCGAATATTTATCGAATTCGATTCGTAAATGTGATAGTGAAATATGAAAACTTTTAGATTAGCAAGGAGTATTGAGTCCACTCATTGTCATCTGTCCGTATTGCAGAAAATATTAGTGTTTATTATAAGAAAATTATCTTAACTCTTATAAGTTAACTGAGAATTCTATCTAAGGAATTATGGATAAATCGCTGTAGGAACTTTTACCAGTCTGCATTTTTAGCCTTTATTCGATGTTTCATTTTCAAGTATTGAATCTGTCAAGTTGACTTTTGAATAACCTATCGAACATTTATTAAATCAGATTCACAATTTTCTATTCATTTTCGCAATTTAAACAGATCGAGGTTAAGTTTCACCACAGTTTCCTCCGGAAGCCGAAATTCTTCAGATCACCACAACATGCAATCTGCTTGGTACCATAAGTGGCAATCAAAAAAGCAGGCATAACTGCATGAAATTGTATACTACTGATTACATCTGTAGTTCAGTGGTAAAATGCTCGCAAACCGAAAGTGTGGTCCGGAGTTCTATCCCCGGCTGACGCACTCCCTAATCTGGTTACAATAAGGCTGGTAAATAGGGAAGGTTTGGCGTTAGGCTAGAAACCCCACTGCTGCCTAAACTTCAAAGCTCTAGCTTGGAGCTTTTCGTACCACTCAGAAAGTGAAGAACAAAATAAAAACAAATATGCTGTTGACTGATTGAGATGAGTAGTCGAACACCATCTCTAGCGTTTGCTGGCCAGATGGAAGTGACCTAATCAGCAGACAGCTGTTTCACTCAGAAACCCAATTGCTTTAACTGATTTGGCTATCTGTGCCGAGTTTACCGGAGTACGCCGAAGATGACTTCAGCTACAAACGAGCTGTCTAATATTGAAATCACTTCAATCCAGCTACCAAGCACTACTGGTCGATATGAGCGGTATACAACTACTCATCTCAATCAATCAGTAATGCATAGATTTATACCACACATTTCATGATTTGCTGTGCAGCGATATGATCAGCGAAAAACGTTTCAGCATCCATTGCAGCATCCTCAAAGTAAATTAATTTTATTCAGCTTCATGTGCCAGTAGACCACTCTCGCTCTTGTCGTGGTCCTGCGTACTGTTCAAAGAAACATTTCAGCTAAGGCCTATTAAATGCTTTTTCCTATAAGTTTGTCCGAATTTTCGCTCCTTTTATAATTTCAAACCAGTGTTTACCAGAAGACAGTTCCTGGTGTAGTTTCAAACGCTATTAGAAAAGGTTCACTTTGAAGACATTTATCAGTCTATACTGAAATCAACCTTAGAAATAATTTCTGATGTCTTTCACTATAACCTGAATCTCTGTTGCGCTTTGTACCTAATAGTTTGAACAGAGTTTAGTTTTCAAAACTTAGGTGATACGATAAATAATGCACTGAAACCTAGTATTTTGTCATTCCTGTTCTCAACTACTAACTTTCTTAGAATTTCTGGTTACAAGCCATTATCTGTAGATAATCAAATCTACTAGTGAGATGACAGAAATAGCTGTACCATATCGCGTATACACCGTCAGTGGTTGGATGGCGACGTAGATGATTGCTGTGAAACGTGAATGTTGTTTATCACATTGGTGACAATTTCAACTCACTATGGCTTTCCCACTGTCTAGATAATTGAGAAAAAAATTCACCTCTCAGTGTGTCAAGTAAAATAGTATACTAATACTAGTTTTAATCTCTTAATTTTTAACTTATGCAGCAGTTATACATATGAATGTAACTTTATGTACAAACCCGTAATAAAAGTAGGTATACATGCACAACATTTTCTATAGGAAAAATCACTCGAGTACACAGAGGTGTAAAAAAAAGCCTGACATTGTAATAATACACTAAAAAAATATTTCTGAATTAAAGAAAAATCACCTATAAGCTATTCTGATTCCAAATTTCTCCTTTCAACCAATCCGAAAATTTTAATTTCCTTTTCAACATATTGTTAGCTACTCTTAGAATATTTCAAGGAATATTTAGAAACACACACATGCACACAACAGCTTATATACACACAGTGTTTTAACGCTTAGAAAGTAGGCATTTGCTTAACTGGAATGTATAAATATGTGAAGTGTGACTGCATTTCAGTTAAACATAAGTCTCTCTTCAATTCTAGTAAATTCATTTGAATTCTTTTAGTCAGAAAACTTATACATCTAACAAATATAAAAAAAGTAATCACTATTACCGCTGCTGCAACTAAAAACAAGGGAACAATGAATACTCTATCTATGTTTACAAATGTGGTACTTGCTTTGACTATCGGTAGGTGTTAGTATGAGTATATATTTTTTTGCTTTGAAACATTGAATGATGATACTTTTTGTTTTATTGTATTATTTAAAAATGAAGTATCAGTAATATTGTTCATTACTTCTAAAATTATAATTTTAAACAAGCGATCATCGACTATAAATAATTGTTAATAAACGATTACGTAATTCCATACATCTGAAACCGGCCTAAGTGATTATACACTGCAGTTAGCGTTAGTAAACTTTCCTTATTTATTCCACTCTTGAAGTTTGTAGGAATTTGATTAATGTCACTGTAGACTGTTATTGGGAAAAACTGACATACTTTAGAAGATCAGTGAGAACCGTGAAGCACTGGACAGTTGTTTTGCCCCAATTTGGTAAGTTGTAAATGTTCACAGGCAGAAATCTCAGACTTTAAGACGTGCTAGAAGAATAAATAGATTTTTGTACATTGTTGGTGCCTTACAGAAAAAATGAGACCACTTTAGGTTGTCTCGTAGAATTCATGGCTAGCTATAGCTTCTTACATTTAGTACCACAACAGTGTGTTATATTTTTAGATTATTTCACATGGACAGCATCAAAAGATTTTGATCAAGACGGTTAGGTTTAAGCAATAGCATCTGCTAATAATGGAGTGACTGGCTGACATAAATATTCCAAAAGGAATTTTATCTAGTAATTTTTCTAATCACTTTTTTCTTATTCAACACTCAATCGTTAAGTGTTTAAGAGACGGGATAATATTGTGAATGATAAAAATGTCTTGCAGGAGTAATATCAAGTAAGGGCAAATTTATTATCCAGTATTTAGTGTGTTCCAATTAGTGAGTGATTCAAATAGGGAGCTACATCTATTATTTTCAAATTGTACTTCTTTTCCTATATCACTGGTCATTTGGAAAGGATCTCGACTCAGTCGTCAGTATTGTTTTTCGTCAACTTGCAGCAGTTTACACACCTTATCGTTTGAAAAGTATAAGGTCTTTCAAGGTGTTTTAAGTTATTCACCTTTAAACAATTGAATAAATCTAGCTTATCAGTGAATACGTAGATGGATGAATAGTTCATTGAACGCTTAGACTGAGCCTGTCTTGAATAATTTATTGATCATAATCAGAAGAACTATGTCATGATACAAAACGTCTTCTTCATAAGTCCATATGTTCGGTTCTGGCATAAGAAAGCTAATTATATGACAAACATGTACCAAGGTATGAGATAAATTTAACAGATATATATGTACAAGAGGAAAACATGAGAATTAGTTGCTGTTTTTTTTTATTGCGAACTCTAAAACTGTTATGAGTTCAGTGCTTTTACGTTGAGACTTTGTGGTGACTAGAACTCAACAAGAAAGCCCATATCTAATTTTCGAAAATACTTCTGAAGATGTTCGTTGGTGAATACTAACAATGATGAAAGTTAAATCTAGAGCTGTCAGCCACTTAAATACTAACTAAGAAAAGAATTCTGTGACAAGATAAAGCTCAGTCAGTCAGCAAGGAATTTAAAACTCTATTTCTTGATTATTGACTTACATAAAATGTCAAATCCCCAAATAACCTTCTTTCCAACTGTTATTTCACGTAGTCAATCACTTCCAACAACGACAACGACAACAGCAACCATAAAACCAGAGTTTGGTACTCTAAGATGATCAGTTGTTCATGTTCATCACTGAAATAACACTTCGTGATTGTAATTAGACTGATAAACGTCTATTGTAGATAACTTTATAAGGTATGATGATTTTCTCACCAGTCGCTTAACAGTTTTTCTTATAACAAGAATCATTCATAAAAATGACTGAAGACGTCTACAATCTTACTGACTCGGCTTCATGTGTATAATAAAGAAGTTTATTTTTTTTTGCATTTTCAGTAGAGCAAATTCTTTTCAAAAGTTAATAGTACTTAGTCTTCAATTATCAAAGTAATTAATTATAAAGAGGCAGGAATATCCTACTGAATACAGTGTTAATTTAAAAGTCCTACTAAATCACTGTCATTCTTCCGTAGATGATACTAATGACAAGAAGATGTGTGCTCTAATGGCACATATCCCGACCAAGGCTGTTAGCATTCACTGTAATCAGCGTATTCTTTCTTACAGTTGAATTCTCTACTCCCCTGTCATACATAAAATAAACTTATGATTGTGAATTTCATTTTACTTTTGAAAAAATTATGATATTTATATTACGAGAAGTTCATTGGAACTGCTTGCGTCAGCTGATACAGAACTTCAGATGAACATAGTGAAGATAGAGGTGATGAAGATACCCAAGCAATAGCAACAACAAGGACAAGCACCAATGAAAATCAATGGTGAAAATACATAGGAAGTTTTCTCCTTCACTCATCTGGATTGAGAAGCATAATTTCAACCACATGCAACATGGATGAAAATGCCAGAGTCAATCTGGATCAGAAAAGCAAGACAAGTATTCATTGCTTTGAAATCGATGTGGAGACCTATTGCACTTAGCCCGATGAATAAGATAATAAGTTATAAGATGAATACCAACTGTATGTGTCTGTATAGGTTCAGAGACTTGATGCACACCTTCACCTAAAGCATTTCCAACCTATTGCAGCAAACTTTCGCCAGTACTCGCCTTTGCTCGGTGACCAGCGAGAGAGGATAAGTTACCTTCTACTCTAGCAAGCAGAAAACCATCCAAAAGCCTGTATTTTGAAAAAATACGCAGACGCAAGTGGAAATGGATTGGCCATACTTTGGGAAGACCATTGAGTGACATTATACGCCAAGCTTTCTGCTGGAATCCGAATGGGAGGCTGAAACTGGTCCGGTGTCGGCGTTTAAGGGTGACATGAAAATGATCATATAGAGGTTGTGAGTGGTCGTGGAACCGGTTGAAAGTGATGGCAGATAACAGAGTGTAATGGAAAGATACCGTTGAAACCCTTTGTTTCACTCAGGACACAGAGAATATACAGTAATAATAATAATAACAATAATACTAATGAATACTACTAACAACTCATGCACATACGTCATATTAAAAGAAGCCAGATGGTGTTTGTTTCGATCACAAAGCTTACTTTTCATAGTAGATGAGTGCAGGATCTCATTGAAGTATACGATACATATTTGGATACATTGTTGCTGTCGAAATAACTTGATATTATGTCAGGTAAATATTTGACACAAGAAGGGAATCAGCTTACTCTTATCGGTATATCCTTCATTCAAAGGGATGGTAATTTGCTGGAAATGTAGTTGATTTGTAGAAGTCTGTTTGTTTGTATAAGTCTCTTCAGTTTTATCTCATTGTAGTTAAAAAAGGAGTCCGTGTAAAACTATCACCTTATAGCACTCAGCATATTATATAGTGAATACGTTAGATGAGTATGACGAAATACTGGAGTTTCTCAACTGGGGTAGACAACGGACTGGCAGACTGAAAGAAGGGAGTTTACTTTACACAGCTATAAAGAACGGGGAAAACAGAACGATTCAAACAGACAGGCAGAGAGTGAGAGGTATTGAAATATTCCAGCCATAAGACATATAATCCTGATACCAGGAAAAAATACCTGTCTCACCATAAATCCTAATACTAACTTATTTCATAAAATACCTCAATCGATTTGAAAATGAATAAATTATGGAGTTCCGTTTATTCCATATTGGGTGCAACCATCTACAAAAAAACAGTGAGTGACAGGAATCATAAGGTTAATGTCGCTACTTTTCACAGGCACATAATGAGATTTGTTCAGGTGACAGTAAGGGGAGGCTGGACTATTTGAGACGAGCAACTCCACCACTTTCAAAAATACACCACTTCCTCTGAAATGTGATAGCTCAAACATAAGGCTCTATATTCCCCTCGGAATGCAGAGGAATGAAAAAAAGAAGCAGAAGAAGAAGAAAGACGACAGCCATACATGGATGTAAGCCTCATTTCTATATACTAAAGCAATCCTTTACATTGCTAAGCCAGGAATAAACTGGTAAAGAGGGAAGGTTGGGCATGAGGCTAGCAATCTCATCCCGTAAAAATAAACACCACTGCTACTGAAACTTCAGAGCTCTAGCTTGAAGCCCTATGTTCCACTGGGAACGTAAAGGAATAAAAAAAGCAATCCATTGAAACGCTTGAATTACTTTGATAATGACACTCTGATTGCGTCGCCTTCCCTAATCTTAAATCACCTTTGATTTATTTGCTTTAGTTGGCCCTTCGTCTCATCATTTTCGTACGAGTTTCTAAATAGTTTCCATCGAGGAATAACGCCTGTCAAAGAAGATTTAAAAAACCTAAGCAGTTCTATATTGCTATCAGATAGGAACAGTGGGACATTTAATTTCTGTTTTTTCTGAATAATCTTACTGCTCTGCTTACTGAGTCCATTGTCTGAAACTGATGAAGAACAGGAATAGATGACGATCATATCACTGTTGAGTTCTCCACATATATTTTAATAATTCTTCAACTTGTGCTTATTCCTGATGAAAAAGAATTCGGAACAAATGGTCATTAGAATATAACATTTATTAGCTATCTTTATGTGTTGGAGATAAAAAAATAACTCAGTGAGAGAAACAAATTGTTGTAAAGGAAGTTGAAATCATAACACTTTTATCGGATTCAATCGACTTTTCAACTGTTTTGTTTCTGAGTAAAACAACATTTAGGAACAAATAATTATGTAATCATATGTTACATGTGTACTTTGAACAAAATGATAACCGGATGAGATAAGTAATCACAGCCATAATACATAAAGCTTACGAGATAAAACTGATAGTTAGAAGTGAGATAAACAACGGTGGACATTTTTAAAGAATCAAGGAGAATTCCTGAGAATGCTGTTTGGAAAAGCTGAAATCTAGATGTCTTCATTAGAACCCCGATTTCTTTTTTATCTTCAAGGTCACCGCTCAATCATTTATTAGGGCTAGATGTTTTAAGGTTTTTGGTGGAATACAAAACTTCAAAAGAAAATCTTCATTTTACAATGTTCTCTGCAGTCTTCTTTAGCTGGACATTTAATTTTCCACAAGCTCTCATCTCCTCCTGACACGATCGCATCAATGTCACCCACAGACCGACACCTGACTCATCTCTTCATCTTCGGGCTCCACCCTAAGACATGGCGTGTGATGTCACTCAGCGGTCTACTTACCAAGCTTCCACTACATCTCCATTTACTCTGGCATATTTTTTGGACGACAGGTTCTTGGTAAGTCTGATTCTAAAATTTCTTCTGCTGCTAATCCGTTTTGGCTGGCCATCTGGTCGTAATTGTCGTTTGTCCGTTTTCATGATACAGGCCTGACTTGATAACTTCGAAAGTGTGGTGAGTTTGTGCGAACTCTCAAAAAGAACTGTTTATTGGTGCGAATGATTTAATGAAAGTGACTAAGCGGACGCTTTGAAGGGTACCAATGTTACTGACACCGAACCACTTATCAGATTTAATAACTTGCTTAAAGAAATGTAAATTTTTCATGCTTATTCACTAACGTAATTATGAATTCGTCTTGAAGGCAAGGTGACTGTTACAAAACTGCATCCATACCTTTTTATTTTCTAAATGTTTTCACAGGTCTCTGTTGCTACAGTTCAGTCAACTGTCAACCGGTGAGTGAATCATAAGTTGTAATGATTTTGTTTTGCTAATATTCTTTTACTACTAATGAGTAACCAAACTTACTGTGGAAAAGTGGAGACTCTTATCTACCACTGACTCTTTTGTCTATCAGCTTTAATTTTTAATTTCTCACTATCCAGTGTATCAATAAGAAAATTCACACACAGTAAACCGTGAGGTAGAAAATTAAATTACTGACTGGAAAATAGCTAGAGGAAATAAAAATGAGTGTTCACATAGAGCATTTTTTCAATTGCATTTAATAGTATTGTCATTTTATGTATTTACACCTTCGTTTAAATTTCATCACAGGATACAATTTCTTAACCAGGTATACATACAAGACTAAATAGCTTGATAATAAATTCATTGAAGAGAGTCTCTTCGCCGAGTATTGTGTCTTTTAATTGTAAATATTTCTAATTTCGTTGTCTCCTAAATGTTAAAAAGGAAATGTTTTGCCGACATCGTGACAAATTTAGAGTAAACATCAGGAAGAAATATTAGTCTGAAAAAAAAATGAATGAAAAACTTAATTCTTGACAGGTTTGTGGGGCGTACTGCTGAAGGGTCCCAAACACTAGAGCAAAACAGCTCTTCAGTACTACCTGTTCGTTTTCAGTGATTCTCTTATTGATATCAATCCTTCTTCAAACTAGAAATAAATAAATCCCTTATATAGATTCTTAAAAATTCATTGTTTGTACGAAGGTGAACAGTGATTGTAAAACTGTTTCACTGTCATGGATTGCCTGAAAATCATTGATTCTGGCATCTCATGGAATACATACGCTTAGATGCACCAGTTTCCTGAACGACTGAAACCCATAACTGTTTTCTGTAAATACTGATGCATTTTAAATGAATATTTTATTCTAACTAACTGTGTCTGTTTAAGTTACTTCGCATTCTGTACACTAACTAGATATCTCACTTAGTATAGATTTCATGCCGAATGTGCCTCTAGCTAAATCATGTGTAAACATTTATGATAAAGTAGATTAGACTGGAAAGTAACAGAATTTAGCTACAAAAAAGAGCAAAATTCCTTTAAGAGACAAACTAGTGTAATGCATATTATTCTTCGAATGCTCGTGCATGAAGCCAACTGGAAAGTGAACTCTTATGATACCCATTAGAAAAAAATAAAGTGAATAATCAACGCAGATTTCATTCCAAAAGAGTTTGTGATACTCTGACTCAGATTAGAGCCTTTAAAGAAATATAACCTTTATACACTCTTAGATGAATCATGAACTCATGAAGAATGCAGTCGTTATATGTAGTTTCACCTCATTTACTGCATTTTGACGATATTAATAGATAATTCTTAGTGAATAATGATTGATAACTACTCTTTGCATCAGTTTACTCAGTAGGTTTAGGCCATCAGTGGTAGAATTTTTTCACCATCCAACATTAGCCTGAAAGTTAGTTGGCTCCATTACAGTCATGCATTAATTACCCTGTCAGTAAGATCAAACTCACGAACATAGGATATTATAGTGACAATGCTGTCATATTTATCTGGTAATACAAGCTCAACTAGTCCACAATTGCTGACTTTTGTGATTCTATGCCAACCAAATCGTCAATGTTAGAGCTAGGCAGTATGGGATTGTACTTGTAATCTAGGACACAAAATAATTAGGTTCGAGGCAGATTTTTGCTTTTTGTACGGCGAAGGATTTCCGAAAAACATAGTCGGAGATTATCTTATGCTTCTTAATTTTTGCTAGATCATGAGCTGGTGTCGATTTATGACACAAAAGGGTGGTTCGAATATGATGTAAATATCAGAAAAGTGTGTAGCTGAATCACTGATATTTTGAGAACATAATTATGAACAAAATAGCTCAACTTCTTAAAGACAAAGAGATTTTATGAAAGCGTTTGATAGATCGTTTTTAGTTTGTGTGTGTGTATTAAATGTATCAAAAGCAAATAAAGCACACCGGAAATCGAATTGAATTCGAGTGCATTTCTCAAGTAGTGTACTACCACATGACGAGGTAATTTGTTTTTCTCTATCATCCAACATAAAGAGATGAGAGGAATATAATACAATATTACTTGGACAAGAAAGTAAGTAACATAAGTTATATAAGGATTATGTGTAATGAAAAGCTAGGAAGATTGGGACCAGTTGATAACAAGATTGATATGTTTTGTTTTGATGTTAGTGTAAACCACTAATTTCAAGTGGTGGGTATCCACACGCGGAGTACTCAATAACAAGTCTTTATAGCCTGCTGTGAAGTAATTGGAAGTGTATGTACTTAAAGCGAACAGTTAAATTGATTTTTTAAAGCATTTTCTTACCTTTTTTATGGTTCTTTCCCATTTAAAAAGCAATTAAACTCATTCCAATATACGTTTTGTCATGAACCAATGTCATTTTGGCGAATCATTGAAAACCAAGGAGCAACAAACTTCTGTCTCATACTGGTTTTCATAATCTTCCTCAGCAGTCAGTAATGACATGCTTACAAGGGATCGAACCTAGAACCTTGTGGATGTGAGGCGAGCCCATTCAGAATATCCAGTAACCGGATTTCAATCAGTTACCCATGAATTCTAACATCTGCTAATTTGAGATATCAATCTTTTGATAATTATTATCAGGTATAAGATGGATGTCCTGAAATAGATGTGCATATGGGTGACTAGATTGAGGAAGAACGTGTTCATCGGTTGTACTATGTCATAAACTGGTAGAAATAAGAATTCAGGAATGACTAATTAAGGTGTTCGGAACGAAACCATCAGGTACTGCGTACGATTCCTTGTGGAGTCGTATAAGTGCACTGTACTAAAAGGAGAAACCCATTCGGTTCCGCTTGCCTTTTAATGACACTTTAACAAGTGACATTTAGTGAAGAAACCTATACTGAAAGATTATTTAGAAATAAAGTCAATATGACACGCCTTATTTTCTGAAATATACTCACTTCGTCTGTTACACTGAAGTGTTTTGCTATGCTATGCTCAATTACAGGGTCACAAATTACTCACATTACTGGTATCGGCTCTCGCCCGCAAACAAGAACCGACAGACGAAACAGAAGGAATTAATAATGAGAACCCAGATGAAGCAAAATAGCTTCACAAAATAAAAATAACAAATTGCTAGGCAAAACATGTATGATGTAAAATTAAAAATAACAACTTTGTATTACTTGACAAACATCATCATACTGTCTGTTATTACATAATGGAAATCATGATTCCCTTTAATATCAAATAAACATACAAACAAGTATTTGATAACGTCAAAATGCATAATCTTGTAATGGGATGATGAAGGATTTTTGGGCCTATTCTACTGTTACAACAACAGCGACAACAAAAACAGTAATATATGACTGATCACTCTAACTGTCTGTCTGTCTGTCTGTCTGTCTGGATTCAACATAGAACTTGGCACCGAAGTGCAGCAGTTCGAATTGCCACGTTCCAAATAGCACACAAAGGTAGACGGGAAAAGGAGAGAAGAGAATCAATAGAATTTAGATAAGTATAAGATTGAAACAGAATGAGTAATGGTAGAAAGGAATATGAAGGTTAAAGAGACTGAATACATCTGCGCCATTGACAACGATTTTGAGCCATGTCACTCTAACTAGTATAATCAGACTGAGAAAGGCATAGAAGACTGACTGATTGACTGAGAAGGTAAAGATTAGCGCGTGCATACAAAAGACTAATATTACTAGAAGTTATAGTTATTCTCTTGGTTATTCTGCATGACCAATCATTTGTTTGAACTGTTGGAGGTAATCGGAAAGAAATCCAATCTTCAGGTTTCGCGCTTGTCGACACTCTTCAGCAAGACGTAGGTGCTGTGCCCAAAGAACTGGCCTCCTATCGGAAGTTCAAACCCATGTTACTCAGTGCTAAAGTCAGAAAAGGATGTTACTAGTGAGTAAATAATCATGAAGAAGTTTCAATAATCACTGGCATTCAAATCTTATTGAAGATTGTTCGGGTGTTTTTCTTGATACCGGATTAGGAGTTCCGACTTTACTGGCTTCCAATGCAAAAAGGAAATCCAAAATAGAAGTGTTACTGATTGTATTTTTCTTAGTTTAACTGCTTTATCTAAAGCCCGATTGGTGAACGAACACTTTACGTGCTCATCAGTGGCATTATTTTGAGTTAGCACTATATGACGAATTGACAGAAGTTATAATTTACGAATAACTGAATTCTCACTGAATGCTTAGATGATCAGCAAATTGACCATGTAACCTGTAAGGCCTGGTTTTGACTCCGATTCGGGGTCGTCAGTGCATACTGACGATGAGTTTCAGACTAGTAAGAAACAAGTGTCTAATGGTCCCTGCTTTTTAATAATCCTCCAAATGATGTTGGTTAATGAGACAAGTCTTATTTGAAACTTTATATAGGAATAATAACAATGTTACGTGTCATTTTTCTGGAGTTTATATTCTTTTATTGTTATATTGAAGTGTTTCTCTACACTGTAAATATTTATAGGCTCTCAACTATGATGGATTTCATCCTTATGGGGAAAATAATCAACGTGCTTTAATATCAAGAGCAATTTATGGTCCCCTTGTTGCTAAACGAGTGCCACCTTATATAACCGGAGGAATTCGTTATAAAAAATACAGTGAAGAAGATAGCTGAACAAAATGAAAAAGCAGACTCACAGGAAAAATAAATATGATTTCAAACTTTATATTGCTCCAAAATCATTATCATATTGTCTATCTCTCAATAATCAAAATTATATTTCACTTATTATCAAATGAATATAATTGATAAGATAAAAGCAATAATTCTGTGTTTTATCTTGTTAAGTACTATTTGATAACGTCAAAATGCATAATCTTGTAATGGGATGATGAAGGATTTTTGGGCCTATTCTACTGTTACAACAACAGCGACAACAAAAACAGTAATATATGACTGATCACTCTAACTAGTATAACCAGACTGAGAAAGGCATAGAAGACTGACTGATTGACTGAGAAGGTAAAGATTAGCGCGTGCATACAAAAGACTAATATTACTAGAAGTTATAGCTATTCTCGTGGTTATTTACCTTAGAAATGGTATGCTAATTCAAGTTATGAATCGTTCTTTTGACTGATGAGCATACTTCAATAATAATACGTTGAATTGGCTTTTAATCTATGTCAGGGTGAAATCCCTAGCTTATAGTTCATGTTATCAATGATTCGTGATATCTCTTCTACTGTCCTAGCACATAAAAGCATTGGCAGTCATACCTCAAACAATTCTGCTAACTGACAGTCTATCACAGCTTTCGTGCAATGTAACTCTTGAGTCATTTTCGTGAGATTCACCTTCCTTTTGTTTTAAAATCAATGTCTCTAAATTATTCCCGTTTCGTATACTTTATTTTCATTAAAATAATGTTAACAGTAATAAGATCTGCTATATGATTATTTGTAAAGACTTACAAGGCATTTCTGCGAAATCTCTGTCTGTGTCTCAAATTCTTAATAAGAGTCTTATGAATATAAAATCTTCAGTAGCTATCAGCGAAACGTTAAATCTCCGTTGATCTGAGCACTTTTTTAAAAATGACGTCGGTGATTCAGTTTGACTACTGAAGACTAATGCTGAATGAAATGCGCTTACGTTTCTAAAAATCTGCACATAATGACTGCAGTGAATGTAAACGTTTTTATTTAAAACCAATGAAACATTTTTTCCTCTGTTGTCATAAACACCTACTTTGGTAGTTTAATGTTTACTGTCCAGGAATTTTGGGTAATCTAACTGGGATGCATATTTAGTATAGGTTACATAAAGTCGATGATTAATGTATCATTTGCCCGTCTAGAAGAGGAACTATTACAAGTGGATAAATAACAGATATCATGTTACTGAATAGACTTTATTAATTCATTCATAACTGATTTACATGACCTCATATACTACTGATTTGTTTGAGTACTTACGAATCACTTAGGTAATGCTGTATTGCTCGATAGCCAAATAAAAATGATCTAGACACCGAACAGGTATAACGATTATTTAGGATACAGCTGACCAGTGATTTAGTCAGAATGGCTCTCTGAAAGAGCCTAATTAGTTGAAAATACCTAAATCTTGGCTAGCTGTTTGTATTTTCCTACAATACAAAAAATGCAAACATTGTGACCTAAATACCTTTGGTAACCAAAGAAAATTTTAGTGCTCTTTCCAATCGAACTTTTCGATTTAGATTGATCCTAAAGGTTCCCATCATCTGTAAACCAACTTATGCCTTGATTTTGTCTGGATGTAAGTAAGTTAAACTAAAACTCCAGTGTACCATTTTTATTCTGCTTCCTAATTAACAGCTGTACTTCAAGAAAAACAAGAAAACTTTTCCATTAGCTGAAGGTGGGAAATTTCTTAGTGTACAGTGGTAGCTACCGAAGGAAATTTCATCCGTAAAATCTACATTAAATGCCGCAAAACATTAATCAACTCACACCACTAAGGAGAATTTAAGATTTTGGATTCAATAAATAGCAAGATCCAGATGTGTTAGATATTAAGCTTAATCGCATCTATTGGTTAGTCGTTCTGGTAGGAACTAATGATCTTTCAGTCACCCAAAAATGTCATTTGGGTATTTACTTTAGGTCTACAGAAGCCTAGAGTTTTATTGATAATAATAATGCTCTCATTCTCAATAGACAATTTATGGACAGTACAAAAGTCTCTGAATGTTTCATTGCAAAATGTTTACTTATTGTACAAAACGATCAAGTAAACTAATTACCAAAATAGAAAATGAAGCAATATTATTCTGTCCAAAACACGTTTCAATCAACCGTTATGTTGTATCCTTCAGTTTACTTCTAAATACTTGATGATCATCAATTGTTTGATTATTTCAAATGATTTATGATTGAAGAAATATAAAGAAGGCACTAATGTGCGTCAGCGAAGAGCTTTAAAACGTGTATGTGTATATGCATGTTTATTGATACTACTATCTACTTACAAGTATTATGCTTATGTAGCCTATTAGGCAACCATCCAGGCAAATGGTAGAATAATTCAGTTCATAAATTTGAATAATTGTCTTCAAACAATTCAGGAGATAAATGAATTAGCCTTTATAAAAATTGACTCTTTAATGTGCATAATGTCTGTCGGTAGTTCAGTGGCAGGGTATTCTTCAGCCATTCACGTGGTCTGTCTGGGTTTTGATTCGTGGCAGACGTGCTCCTAAACCTCGCTTAGCTGCTAGTAGTCCCTGTGGAGAGGTGAAGTTGCGCGTTAGGCTAGCAACTTCACCTCGTAAAAAATGCCACTGCGACGGAATTTTCAAAAGTCCAGCTTGAAGCCATTTTTCATTGGAAATGCAAAGGAATAAAAAAATATGCATAACGGGGTTCGAGTTAATATATGATATAATATAATTATTATACATATAATTTGTGCATAGCAATAGCAGCAAACCATTAAGTTAATTTTTGTTGCTGTTCTCAGAAAGTTCACAGTTTCAGTTGTTGAACAGTTTCAAACTAGGATGAAACAGGTATTCAGTATTCCGTAGTTTTCAATGATGCTCCAGCTGATTTCAGTCACTGAGGAAATTTCCATTGAAATTCACTTTATTTGTTCTTGATATACGCCTGAGGTATATACGATAAGTTCCTTTAGTCCAATATTTCCATCTCATTTAGAGTGCACCATATTAATTAATGCCATAAAGTAGATGCACTTAACTTCGCTTGATAATAAAGATCAGATAGCCGGAAAAGACAAGCATCAAAGGACTCTGGTATGCGTCAAACCAACCCACAACCTATTGATAATTGGACTGAGTCCCAATAGTTAAATAGTCTACGAGCTCACCATGCTATTGGCAGGTTCTGGTTTCGAATCCTGATGGGTGTGTAATGCTAAAGAGTCCCTAACCGTGATGAAACAGCTCTGCAGTACTTCCCGGTTTTCCAGTGTTTCTCTAACTGGATGTCACCAAGTGGCCAAACCTGTAACAACCCCTAGCTGAACAAATATAAGAGGGAAAATGAAGATGAATTAACCATATGCTAAGAAGATTGTTCAGTGATATCATACACCAAGATGTTGAGTGGAAACCAAATGGAAGTCAGGCGATGATTTTGATGTCCGATGTGATATGGAAAAGATCATATGAACGGGAAATTTTAGCTAGTGGGCAGTTGTGAAGCCAACCACTAAAAACCAACAGGGAGTACTGGTTCTCTAGCCTATCAGCGATCAGTCTTGGAATCAGAGATTCCTTACAAACCGACTTCTTAAAATTCTCAGATTATTTCGATTCACTGTATTCTAATCATTGTTCTAAATATATTCTCTTCCAATTTGGCTATTAATCCAGTTAGCTATCATGATATCGCTATTATATCTTAACTACCCTACTTGTTTTCGGGTTATCTATCACTTTGGACACTAGTCGTTGTCTATCGTCGTTATTACTTTATCGGTGGAACTATCTGGGACACTCTGGGATTGGGAGTTTTCTACTGATGTTATGGTTACTCGTTACTGAAGCCGAGATGAAAAAATTGGTCGCCATAGAATTCAAACTAGTGGCCCTTCGACTATCAGCCTAGTGGTCTACTATCTGTAACAGATAGACACGAAATCTTTCTAATTTAACATTTTTAGAACTGATAAGACAAGACCTAAGTGGTTGATACCTGTGACATTTTTAAAAGGACAGTCATTTACCACTTATTCACATGAAATGTGGATATAACGCGTAACTACTGTGGTAAAACTAAAATTCGGTTATCAAATAAAAATTTATAGCTCATCTGATAGAATTCTGACCAGTATAAGCTGGAGACTATAGATACAAAATCTGCAAAAGACCCGAGTTTTAATTTCATTTACAATTATCATTTTATTTGTTTTATTACATCGATTCTATAGTATGAAATGTTGTCTAAGACGGTTTTTAGTTAACTCTTGTAGTCATCAGTTATGTCGTAGATTACCTAACAAATTATATCGGAAACTTAATTTAAGTCAGTTCTTCCAACAAACTATATCAGACTACTTGAGTTTTATATAAATTTTGAACTTGATGAGCATGTGGAAGATTAGTTTTACAGTGACGTCAGGATAACTTGTTGACCATTTTCTCCTCTCCGCTCTAATACAACTTCTGGATTTTTTTCTATCCACCAGCACTACTGAAATGAATGAAGCTCACCTAGTAGAGTTTCAGATATAGTAAAGAATTTGACTGAATTAGAGATTAGAGCTGTTAGGTCCTATTTAAAAGCCAGTCTGTTGATAATAAAGACCACATAAATTTTAACTGGCTGTGTTAATGAACACTAGTGATGCAGCTCAAACCAGGATAAAACAGCGCTCCTTACTTCTGGCAGTTTTCAAGCTGATATTGGTTCATGATGAAAGTCTGATTTCATGATATGTTATTTTAAAATCATTCTTATAACCCAAATGAACTGTCATCAAGATTTGACAGAATAGTTCTAAAATATTTGGGCGCCGAGTGAGAAGTAGACATTTGTAAAAAATTATATTAGTAAAGTCTCAGCGAGATTGAAATGAGTAATTCCAACGTTTCGTTCGGCAATCTGGTCCGAACTTCTTCAGGGAAATTAATCGAAATTAACATAACATAGGTTTATATATAA